AAAATGTTGATTTCTACAACATATTCAAAAATCCTAGAAATCGGTGAGAATGTACCTGTTCTCTATAATTACCTTCCAGTTTCTAATTGAATTATGGTAATTCACTTAATATTTAATTGAAATCAAATTTTGTTTTCATGCGTAATTATATAAGAAAGTCTCAAAACAATAATGCTTTGTAGTACCTCGACTGATAACTTATTGCGTAATTTATTTTTAATTACATTATATACAGAGAAAGCGCGTTCAACACTGGCATTTGAAATAGTTACACTAAATAGAGCCATTGAAAATTTAGAAATATTGCCAAATCTCTTATTCCCAGCCGAGTCGAAATCTTCAAATACCTCAGCATATATTCCTCAGAATTTGCAGTATTGGACCACGATTTATTGGACAGCTGATTCCATTCGGATTCAATGTCGTTCTTATTACCATGTACGTCACTTCGCTCAATTTTATTTAAAATAATTGACAAACTGGGTTTGCAATTTAGATAATGCATTGTTAGGATGAAGAGACAATTACAATTATCTTGTAATCTAGTTTGAAAAAGAAATCTCTTGTATCTTTCTTTGACATCCATTAAATCTTTTGCATCAATATTATGAATAGCATTATGACACTCATAACCAAAGTACATAGTAGAAGTATGCATTAGGTGTGATTGAAAATCAAAATTGATTAATTCATTCTCCTCCAGTTTCTCTAGACGAGATGGAATGACAAGTTTCTGAAGTAAATTTTTGTACATTAAAAATAAGTCTTCAAATAACTTAGTAGCATCTACATGATCACTGAAAAAGTAAATTTAATTGAGTTATATTTTTGAATTCCAATTTTAAGAAAATTAAAAAAGAGGACACTTTGCATTGATTTTAAAAACGTCAATAACGCCGAAACTTTATTTTACCCTTGATCGATAACAATGAAAGTCACTCGACATTCCTAAGAGCACTCACAAGATAAAGTGTTCCTTTCCTAGTTCGTGATCCGTAGAAATAAATAAAATTTTACTGACGTAATAGATAATGAATAGAATGAAGTTCATGCAATGATCATATAGCAATTTATTTGCAACAAATTATTTAATCAATCAGTAAATATTTGGTCATTTATTGTAAAATATTTCTTTCTGGAATCCATATTCTAACTTGAAGTAACGGATAAACGGTTAATTTTTCATCTTTTTTCAAAATTGTTATCTGTTAAGTATTTTATCTAACTCTACTTACCGATAAGCGACACAATCGCGTTCTATTATCGCACTTCTAGACAGAATTGTTTTATCTTGTTACCGTTAGATGACAAGGTCTGTCCCGTTGTATCTGTTAAGTATTTTATCTAACTCTACTTACCGACAAGCGATACAATCGCGTTCTATTATCGCACTTCTGGACAGAATTATTTTATCTTGTTACCGTTAGATGCCAAAGTCTGTCTCGTTGTATGACTAACTAGTAGCACAAAAGCATTGGTTAAATATATTTTTCAAATATTAAAGAAATATTTTTTTATTCACACTGTTTAAAATGAAAAAAATATTTTTATGAATATTGTGTACATATACATAAAATATAAAACAAATATTAAGTGAAGATGAATTAAATGTGCTTAGAATGTATATGAAATATTTAAAACACATTCAGAGAATGTAAAAACAAGATGTAAGAAATGTGAGTTCTGAGTTCAATATTCTATACATATGTGGAAATATCAAAATATTCATGCAATATAAAAGAAACGTTTAAAAGATATTCGGATAATGTGAAAGTTATGTTTAGAAGATGTGTATTGAATATTCGGACAATGTTAAATAAATGTTGAAAATTGAGATTTAAAAAGAAATTAAATTAAATTTTATATTTTGTTGATTATTTTGTTGATAACATAATTTAATATAAAGCAAATAGAAATTATTTCGTACTTTTAAGCAATTATATCTAGAACTGGTGAGTATTCATATCAATTAACTAGAAATTATTTCATACTTTTTAGCGCAATTTTTATATTTTTTCGAAGTCGGATATATTTTTTTTCCAAAAATTATTTTACATTAGACTAACGTAGTACAGTATGGTAAAAAAGTGATTGTAATTTACAATAACTAACTAAATCTAAATAAAATCTAAATTTTTCTACAGTCTTACCAGTAGAATTATATTACTCGATTACAAGAAACAGTATTGCTCGTTTTCACATGTCCATACAGGGTAGCACTTTGTTTTTAGGAATCGATCTTTTTACAAAAATTTTTCTATTTCGCATTAAATCTTAATTAGATTATTACCAAAACATAGGCAAGATATTTTAGATGAAAGTGAAGAAAGCCAAATGTAATATTATTTGGACTATATCTAATTGTATGTATTGTTCGAATTATTACTAAAGTGACTTGCAATTACATATAATTAATGATAGTCCAAACGTAATTGTGTTTACGAAACTGCTGATAATACCTACAGTGGGTGTAGAAAGTATTCGTACACCGATCAATTTCCAAAAAAAAACTATATAAAATTGTAATTTATTTACTTATTTTTTATAAACCATGACATTCTACATATTCTCGGAAATCTCTAGAATAGATAGAGTAACAAAAAAAATATAGCTATTTATGTAAGTTGCGAAATTAACAAGAAAAAAACAATTAATCGATAGAAATATTGAAGCAATAAGTATTCGTACAACTGTTTAATTTTTAAAACTTCATTAAAAAAAAAGAAATTCACATTAATTTACAAGTATATAATACTTCCTTCGTGGGATTTCCTTTTGATTTTACAATTATTGCAACTCGTCTAATCATTAAATTAACTAAATTATTAGTTAGAAGTTATTAAGAAGTGGGATCTTCTTCAATTCCTCTATTAGAGCCATTTTCAAAAGAAGTTTCCTGGAAATTTGATGTTTTCTTATTCGTACGGTGCAACAAACTAATGTGTTTACGTTACAAACTCTACTGTAAATGATTCGTCATAAGAACCGTACAAATACTTATTGCTTCTACCCACTTTTACCCACTTTTCGCATTTTTTTTGTCAATTTCATAAATTATATTAACTAGTAAATGTTGTATGGTCTATATCTATCTTAGAGACTTCCGATAATATGTAAAATATCATTGACTATAAAAAAGAGAAGTTAAGAAACTACAATTTCACACAAAAGTTTTTTGGGAAATTGATCGGTGTACGAATACATTCTTTCTACACCCACTGTATACTCACGAAAGTGAAATAGAAAGTCTAAAAAATCTAACTTCCATTAATGGATGAATTTCGATTCCGTGCGTATGCGAAACGGAAGTGCTTGTTTATCATTTAGGCGTATAATAGTTCGTCTTTACGAAAGGCATCTTCGTCACTGTAGCTTTGTAAGTCTTCCCTCGAACTTCAACCAGCACTCCACCGCCATATTGTGCCAACTCTGGGGGCACGTAACCCATGGCAATGGGTCGACCGAGAGTCGGACTGGGCCCACCGGAAGTGACTTTACCCACGCGTTCACCTGCAGGAGTCAAAATCACCGCTCCTTCTCTGGCTGGTGGACTGTTTCCAAGCATCAAGCCCACACGTTTTCTCGTGGGACCCACCTCGATTTGCGATAGTATCCTCAAGGCACCGGAGAAGTTTGCTTCCTCCTTTCTTCTTTTAGCTGAAAGAAGAACGATCGAATATTTATTTGGTTATTTATTTTCAGAGGGAATTTCTTTAATGGATTGTAGGGAATGCATTGTTCATCCAATATATGAATTTATTTATTATTGTTTATAAAAATTCCATTAATAAAGATTCTTCCTCGGGTAATTAAAAATATTTAGTATATGGAAATTCTCCTGTCAATAATAATTTATAAAAATCATCCTCACCATTCATGTATACAAGGTTTTTGAACATTTTTCCTTTAATTTAATGTACATCCCTGCTCAGAACTATGTGGACACTTCCTTCATAGAAATAAGTATTTAATAAAAGTTGGAAATCTATTAATATCAATTATATCATGTATGTTTCGATATTTTTATGTTGCATTACCGAATATATTTTATTAACAGTTTTCTTTTATTATATATATGACATTAGTAACGATGAAAAAACTATGGAGATATTTAGATAATGTTAAAATTCGGGTACTATTATTTTCTTCATTGTATCCGAAGTAATATTACCTCATTTATTTTAATGATCGTTTTGAATTTTATTTTGTTAAGAAAATAAATTTCTAATAGGACTACATTAACAAAATATGGTCTCGATTCTTTTCTTTTCTCACAATTTCAAACAGTTTCACTTACACACAAGCCAAGTAAGTCCTGCCTCAACTGGAGTAGTAGTCTCGTCGATGTCGTGTCCATACAGGCAAAGACCAGCTTCCAGCCTACGAAAATTCACATGAAACGTTGGAATTATTAACGTGTTTTATTTTTATCTTCGTTCAGATTACACAGTGATTAATAATTATTTTGGTTTGTTTGTTTCACATATTCATTATATGTTAATTGTATTATTATTAAAACAAATTGTTATTTTAAGTCGTACTGGTTGATTTACTACAACTCTAAATACAATTAATCTTTTACTTGAATAAATTAGAGAATATACTTTAAACTAATACTTTACAATAAATATTTGACAATTACTATGTTACTATTACCTTAAACTGTCTCTAGCTCCTAGTCCAGCCAATTTCGTGTCAGGCGTCTCCAAGAGCTTCCGAGTAAGGTCGTTGGCAATTTTGGCAGGCATTGAAATTTCGAACCCGTCCTCTCCAGTGTATCCGCAACGCGACACTCTGATTCTGCTTCCCATTACTTCCGTTTCCACACTGTTCATGAATCTTAGCTTCTTCAAGTTGATCTTCACCAGCGTTTGAAGAACTGTTGCCGCGGTGGGCCCTTGGAGCGCAATCAGACCTTGCTCTAGAGGATCCAGGAACTCTATGTCCACCGTTTTCCCTCGGGACTTGAAATCTTTCTGACATTCATAACTAGTTGAGTATGATAATCTTACACAAGTGTTATGATAAACGTTATGTTTAGACTAGGGATTTATATCCATTTATACATAGCTTTCAACAGAACAGTTTTCAACTTGCAGGGACCGAGGTAAATACCGTTACCCGGATTGTTTTCAAGAGAATCGATGGCTGTGATTTTGATATTTGAAAATGGACAACTACTGTGCGAATATACACCAAAAATTTTTTTTAATGTGTTCTCTGTGTCGTTAGTTTTCGTTCTTACTTTTTTTACATTTTATGATTACACTAGTTTACAAAATAAAAAAAAATGTACATTCAATACCACCATTTTTTCCTCATGTATTTTGGTCTACTAAACTCGAAAATCGCAAGAAAAAATTTTTCTACGGATAGGTTTTTTTTATATGAATTTAAAAAATTTTTTTTATTTTTTTCTGACATACCTTCACATTTTAGACCATATCTCGTGTTAGAAACGTCCGATTAAGTCGCACAAGACGCCATTTCAAAAGTAATCGAAGTTCCAACAATTGCTTTTCACATTATTTTTCAATCGGTTCAATAGTTTAAGTGTTACGAGCCAATATATATGAGAAACTTTGATTTTTTCGGCTAAAGTAGAACACGAATATTTCTTCCATCGCCATGGAAAAATCGAAATTGTCAAAAATTATGTCCAGTTTCTTATTGTTTCCGTATAGATTGCACTTTTACGAAGAAAACAAGCTTTTGTTGAAGAAAATCTATGGATAATTACCGGAGTTAGGAACAGTTGAGTCAAGGCACAAAAAACCCAATTTTACTCTGTTTTTGTATTTTTTTCCTATTTATATAGTTTATAATATAATAGTTTAGGGCTTGTGGCTCGGCAGAGTATGAATTATAAGGAAGTTGTTGAAGATTTGCTAATAGATTATGCAAAAATGGGTATAGAATATATATTGTTCTTCTATTTGATTTGACAAAATGGAAAAATTTGTACATTGAATTTCAATTTTAATTTCAATAGGCATAAATATGTCGCTCAAAATTCATTTTTTACATTCTCACTTGGATTTTTTCCCGGAGAATCTTGGCGATGTAAGTGACGAACATGGCGAAAGATTTCACCAAGATATAAAAACTATTGAGCAGCGCTATTATGGATATTGGGATAAAAGAATGTTGGGAGACTACATTTGGTTCCTCATTAGAGAAACGAACCCAACGAATAACAGAAGACAAAGCAAATGCCGAAATTATTTCTAATCGAAATTAATTATATAAATGTTTTCTATATAAATAGGAAAAAAATACAAAAACAGAGTAAAATTGGGTTTTTTGTGCCTTGACTCAACTGTTCCTAACTCCGGTAATTATCCATAGATTTTCTTCAACAAAAGCTTGTTTTCTTCGTAAAAGTGCAATCTATACGGAAACAATAAGAAACTGGACATAATTTTTGACAATTTCGATTTTTCCATGGCGATGGAAGAAATATTCGTGTTCTACTTTAGCCGAAAAAATCAAAGTTTCTCATATATATTGGCTCGTAACACTTAAACTATTGAACCGATTGAAAAATAATGTGAAAAGCAATTGTTGGAACTTCGATTACTTTTGAAATGGCGTCTTGTGCGACTTAATCGGACGTTTCTAACACGAGATATGGTCTAAAATGTGAAGGTATGTCAGAAAAAAATAAAAAAAATTTTTTAAATTCATATAAAAAAAACCTATTTGTAGAAAAAAATTTTCTTGCGATTTTCAAGTTTAGTAGGCCAAAATACATAAGAAAAAAATTGTGGCATTGAATATACATTTTGGCTGTAAACTAGTTATTTGTGTTATAATTTTATATCTTTATGGTTGACTACTGCATCGTTGTTAATTTTAATAATAATAATAACAATAATAATAATAATAATAATAATAATAATACTTTATTTATGGGCAATCTGCCCTTGATATCAAGTACAATGTAATAACAACAACAACAACAACAAGAGAAACAAAACAAAAATGGAGACGATTACAGTATCTTATAATGTAACATGTTTAAACTAAATACCAAAGGTGAGTCATGAGAAAGATCAACAGACATATTAAGGCTGTCAGCCATCGCACATATTCTTGTAACACAATTTTGTTTCGCAATTGAAGTACGATATGGATCAGTGTAAAAAATATCGCTGCTTTGAAGTTGCCTACTTGGAATATTAAATTTCAATAGTTCCATTATCCTGGGACATTCAATTTTTCTATTCACAATTTTAAAAACTAGCATGAGGTCGGCTACAGTTCGGTGCTGCTTAAGCGTGAGCATTTGCATAGTGCAAAGTATATTTTCATAGTCGTGGTATGCTATATCCATAGGTGTACCTAATTTTACCAATTGATAAGAATTAATTAAGTTTCAACATCCAAATGAATTAGGAAAGTATGAATTTCGATACATTTTAGGTGATTACAAAACGATTATTTTTGGGGAGAAAATGTATCTACATATGCTATAAATTAATAAAATCCGCAGTCTAGTTATAATTTATTAAGTAACGTTAGTTCTCAAACAGGTATAAAATTAACAATTCAGAGAATGTTTATAAATTCATCTAGATGTACTCAACTATCATTCACGATTTTAACATGTTCAAATTTTAGCAAAATCGAGAATGTTATTAGAAAAAATTCACGAAGTTTAGCATGGAATAGCTTCAAAATTGATTCGTTAAAAGTCAACCGTAACAATTTTCTGTCAAAGAATTTTTATTTATTTTATTTACCAGTTGTTCGACGAGCAACCGCGAGTCTTCGTCTCTTCTTCCAGCATTCGACACCACGAAGTACTTGGTATCGTCGTCCTTGGTGATGATCAAGTCGTCTAGAATACCACCGTTCTCGTTGGTGAACAACGTCAGCACGGCGCATTCTTTCCCCAAATTTTTCAAATCGCTGGTTGTGAGGGACTCCAAGAATTCGGTGGCATGTTTACCAGAAATTTGTGTTTGCATCATGTGACCAACGTCGAACAACGAGGCGAAAGTCCTTGTGTGCTGATGGGACGCAGCTATGGCTTCCTGATACTGAACTGGTAGCAGCCATCCAGAAAAATTGACGATCTTTCCTGTAAATTTAATGCACGATGGATTAGCCCAGGCCTGGCCAACTCAAATACATAGTTCCACGGGCCACTTCGATGACGCATAACGATACAGCATAACGGTACCCGTTTGTACCGCTTTTCGTTTCATTTGTACCTCAATAGTTTAAATTTTACAAGCAATTGTTGATCCGCGTAAGAGCGAAGTTCGTTAATTTTCAAGATATTTAAAATCTGTTTTATCACGATTCTTTAGAATCTTTTGTACCACCCCACCCCCGAAACGTTTTTCTTTTCGTTTTTCTTGCTTGTAAAATTTAAACTATTGAGGTACAAACAAAACGAAAAGGGTACAAACGATTCTAAAGAATAGGGAAAAACCGATTTCAAAAATCTCGATGTCGGGTGCTGACCATATAAAAAATTTTGTTTAATTATTAATTGGTTGAGGTACAAACGAAACTATTGGAGGTACAATCAGGCACAAACGAAATAGTATCGTTTTCTATAAAAAAAATTAATTTTTGAAAAGTCGGGTCCCAAGTTCACATACTTGCTCGAGGTACATCGAAACTGTTACGAGGCCTAATACTAACACTTCCTGCGGCTCCTCACGTTAGCCATACGTGGGTTCGTCCTCGATTCTCTACCTTCCTGAGGCTCCCTACAAGTCTCGTAACAAATTTAAGAAATAAAAAGTGATAATATCTATTTATCTTATCTAGCATCGTTATATATAAAGATTGTAGGATACTAACTCTGTTAGATGTAAATAAAATCGCGATAAATAATTTAATATTATATCATTTGTAAAGGATTATTGAGAAACCTGCTATTAACAAAAAGTACAAGGAAGGAATTACATGTTTGCGTACAATATTTTATACGGAATTATAGACAGAGTTGTTTATTAGAATCGGGATGTCTTAATGTCTTTGCTATTTTAATATAATTATAATTAAATATAATTACACTCATATATTTTAATATAATTACTATTTAATATAATTATTTATTATAATAATAGAAAGAAGCGTTGGAATATTCAAAACAATTTTAATACTATCTCTCCAGAGACAATATCATATTTTATTTAATCCATATTCAGTACAAAATAATAAATTAAATAATGTAATATTAATGTATAGAATGAAAATTAAAGTTAATGTATTAATGATCCGTGGCGTCCCGTTTCTAGTAGACCACCTAGTATATGAATATCGCAATGAAAACATAAAATGATGTTTGATAAGATTAAAAATGTATCGATTTAATCTTACTTTACAAGTATTTTCTCAGTACGTATCTTAACGGTTCCTTAATACAACATTGACGATTAAAAACAAATTGATCATTTTTGTTTTCTTCGCGAGGTAAAACTTTCGATTCATGAATAATCTAACTTGTCATTCAAGTTTCTAATTATCTTGTTTATGACTCTCTATATGACTTTTCTGATTGATTACATAGTCCTTAAGATATAAAACAAAAGTTCTCTGTATTTGTAAGTAAAAGGAGAACAAAAATGTTTGTTACCAACATTTTGGTATTTCTCAAGTTGTGTTAAAAAATTGTACGTTAAGTGGTTAAAAATATAATTATAAACGAAATTTATTTTGAAAATTTTAAGTTTAGATCAACAGACATTACTGTCAGCGTTACGCCATATGTAAGAAAATACCACTTTAAATTACGTGTAATTATAAATAAAAAGTAACTCTTGGAAAAAATAAACAAATTTAACTGAAAATAAATGAAAACTGGGATTTAAGTGAAATAACCTCCTCCATTTCGAAATCGGTTAAAAAGGTTGCTAATTTGAATAAAAGTCGACTTTTAGAACAAATAAACAAATTGGCAACAAGTAAACAACAATTAATTAATAAATCTGGTATTTAATTAGAAAAAGTAAACAATAATGGTCTACAAACAATGCGTACTGACATAGTATAAGCTCAAAATTTATGAACATTGAGACCCATCTCCGGTTTACACGTTGTTTTTTTTTACATAATTAGCTTTTTAAACGGTTTGCAAAATAATATATCCCCCCCCCCCCCCCAAAAAAAAATATACATGTCGAATAGAGTAATCTCTTCCTTTTCGAATTCGGTTAAAAATATGAAATGTCAAGAATAAAGACTTATACATAGCATACATCCTTCCACAGGAATTATTTAATATTATTAATGCCGGCAATACACCTTAAAGAACTATTCCTCCTTCCTGTGCAATCATATTAATTAGGTTAGTAAATCGTCAGCAGCCAAAAGATGCATATCGTGCTTTATCTAATCGAAAATTTTGGATACTTCATATTTAATGGTTAGTGATGAATAATTATAGCTTTTATATTAATTACAAGTTTTACCATATTGAAAGAAATTAAAAATAGAAAACAAGCATATGAAGAAAAACAACTTGTATGTTTATAAACTTGAATTAAAGTGATAAAATAATGCTTTCTGTACTTGTATGTCACGAATGGACTAATGTTTTTTTTCCATTCGTGGATAGTAGTATACAGTTTGTAAAAAAGCTCGAGAATGTGAGATTTATCGGATTAATTTCTTTAATTTTGGTAAAATGAAGGGTGATTAAACAACATTCTTTCTTTTTCATTTTTTTTCCTACATATGAATTTATTTATAAGCTAATTGTATCGTTATCATTTAAGTTAGTATCGTAAGTATCAAATATAATTGAGTGCTGACCACTTGTCGTTCTGTTATGTAAACATTCTCTTATTGTTAGTTAAACAATTTCCTCTACTGTGAGTTTACATAACAAAGGTTCTACTGTATGTTAAATTAACAGGTTGAAGGCTATGTCATCCAGAAATCGGTGACAGGACTTTTCATTGTGATATTATATACAGGGTGTTCAGGCTATTACTAGCCAGCGTTTTTCTCGTAAATGGTACGTATGACAAAAAAATGAAAGAGGAGAAATTTATATGATATTTTGTGTGCAATGTAACCAGGTATATAGATCTTTCGTATTTGTACTATTTTCTGAGAAATGAAGGTGACCTTTAGTTTTTTAAATGGAATGGTATATTTTTTGTACAAAAATATGGTAGAGAATTGAATCCTAAATAAAAAAGTATCGAGCTTCATTAGCCCTCAACCTAATAGGTTACGAGTAATTTCACTTTATTACTTGAAAATGTTTTTAACTTTTTAATTACTGTTAGTTAGTTTTTATGTCTAGTCATAATTTACATATACTTTATGTATGAGCATAACTTTTTTAAAAGTATAGCTTTTAGACTGAAATTTTTATTAAAATACTCTTAAAACATAATGACTAAACAAGGATCTAAAATATCTCCGAAAATCAGCTCTCATTTTTTAATATTTTATTATGAAAAATTTATGAAATATTCTTCAAATGTTACTTTTTCGAACATAACAACACAGGTTAAAATAATATAATTCATTTAGTTTGTTCAAAAGAATTTATAGAAAGTAGAATATCAAAATATAATAAAGAATATTTTATAATGAAAAATTTATGAAATATTCTTCAAATGTTACTCTTTCGAACATAACAACACAAGTTAAAATAATATAATTCATTTAGTTTGTTCAAAAGAATTTATATAGAAAACATACTTTCTATTCGGCCCTTAAGACCCATGTAACTTTAAAGGGGTAAAACCACTTTAGGATTTTGAAAAAATCGATTTGAGTAGTCTGTACAAATTTTTTCAACAAGAAATATTCAAATTGAGACGACTGTGACGCGCATTTGTAGGGCACCTTACAATTGAAACCTCCTATCGGCGTGAAAGATGCAGGTCGTAATTTTGGTTCGGCACAAAAGAAACCAAAAGAAATTTTCATTTTCATACATTTTTCTTCTATGTGAACTAAGAAAAATCCACAAAAATGGTGAAATGTGAAATTACGGCAAGTTTGAAAAAAAGAACGAGTTCTTTGGGTGAAAAAAATCACTTTAACTTGATAAAAAAGTTGTATACAATTTTTTTTGTATGAATTTTTTTAGTTCACATAGAAGAAAAATGTATGATAATGAAAATTTCTTTTGGTTTTTTTGTGTCAAAACAAAATTACGACCTGTATCTTTTCCGCCGATAGGAGGCTTTAATTGTGAGGTGCTCTACAAATGTGTGTCGCAGTCGACTCAATTTGAATACTTCTTCTTGAAAAGATTTGTACAGACTACTTAAATATGTATGAGAATAGGATAAAAAGTTCGATAGAATTAATTATTTTTTCCAGCCTAAAAAAATTCACGAAGAACCGCTTTTTTTGGACCTCCTAATTCAGGATACCCTCTTAAGGATACGAAAATTCTTTTTTGCATGATTAAAAAGTTACTATCACGCAAAAATATTGGTGGACCGTTTGGGATACATGATTTGCGCTGAATTTAACAGAAAATTTTCAACAGTGTAGATAAAAAAATGCATTTACCTAGATTTTCCACGTGAAGGTCGTACAGGCAAGTCTTCCTCGGTTCCGACGCCGGTGTAGTCGTCGACGCTGAACGGCAATCTTCATTCCTATTTGAGCGTGCTTCGGAATCGATCAAACAATTGGAAAGTGGCCCCGAAGCGACACGACTCGGGTGGATCTTGGAAATCGTCGCCAGTCCTGATGATTCCCTTATATTTCCCAGTAATTCGAGGCATCTCTCGATGCTGTCGACACCAACCGACTTCCCGCGTACACCGAAACGAAACATCGTGCTTCTTTGCCACCAATTCGTCGTCAACTGATCCGAGAATGCCGGTTTTGATTACTGTCGATCCCTCTTTAGATGACCCCGCTGACACTCGCTGTCTATCAGGCTCGGTACTACTATCGAAAATCGGCTGACTTCGTGACGCAAATGCGATTTAGTAGCTTGTTGACTAACAAACTCGAACAATTGTTGTTGCTCCGTGTGGGGACTATCTAAACGAGATATAACGGTGTATAATTCGCTTATGCTACGTGTGGGGGGGCTTTAGCAGTGCAGTGTCCTATTTGAACATTTTAAACTTTGTGCAAGTTCTTTAAATGTTGTGTTCAAAATAGACTCGTAATGTTCTGATATAGCAAATCACTGGCATTGGAGTTGATTACAATTCAAAAAATATATACTTGGAACAAACTCATTTAATGCGATAACGATTTTCCTGTTTTATATTTTGCGAATGTTATTATTTGTTCGAGTAACGTTCTTTTTAATTAAAATTTTGTTGATTGTGTCTGATTGATTTAGACAAAATCAATTGCCAATTTTCTTAAAAGAGAGAATTTCAAGGTCAGAAGAAATTGATGCACGCCATGTGTAGATAATATTGTATATTTATCATCAAAGTTTAACAACTATAGGAATATATTATATTTGTGTTATATGATTTTAAATGTTTGACTTACCTCGTTTAATAAATGTTGTTTATTTTAATAATTGTATATATTGTTTTTAATTTTTTAAGAATTTTGGTACCAAGGTTCTGTAAACCTTTTGTTTACATAGAGGCTACCTCTCAATAATTTTCTTATTCGATGAGTCAAGGATTTAATAAAAAACAATAATACTACCTTAATTTTGTAGTTAAATATTTCGAAAAAAATTCTCTTTTTTTAGGAAAATTTGATGAAAATTAATAAAACTGTTATTGATATATTAGTGATACCTAAGCCAGACCTAAACGTTATTTGTTGGTTTCTTTGCGTTAATTAAACACAGAAAATAAGATTATTTGTTCATAAAAATGGCTCGGTTTGTGTAATTAACATTTTAACGATTTCATATTTTAATTTGGTCTGGACTCCAATAGTTTCATATATGTATAAAAGAATTTTGATATTCGTTTGTTATTTTAAAAAGATGATAATTGTATAAACAGTTTTTCTTTTTCAATTATTATTATTACCAATAACTAGTTTAATATTTTCACATATTTTTCCTTTGCACTGCCTAAAAGTATTTTTGTACCTCTCAAAATCAATAGTTACAGAATAATCATGCGTCTTTTTTACATTTTGGATATGATTTCCTTGCTCGATTTTCTAGATTTGAATATCTAAATTCTTAAACATTCTTAAACAAGAATAACAGAACAAATGTATATTTTCGAAGTAATATAGAAGAAAAAGCGTATTTTTATAACAATTTAAGAGCAAATGTATTTAGATAACGATGTCGGATAATAATATCTGCTTCTTAGAAAACATCAAAAACTGTGAAGCGTCGCTCAAACTAAATAGCTTCGCGTATCTATTATTAACCATTTGACAACGTGATGATTTTTGCTGGAAATTCTAAGAGGTCTAGCAGAGGTGTAAATTTGAAAAAAAATATCAGCTTATAGGGAATGATAAGACGGAACTTTTTTATATTTACAATTTATTCAATTTCGTTCAATTTCAAAAATGAATATTAAAAACTTAAACTTAGACACTTTTCCTGAGATCTCGTAGTGGTCTGGTCCTGTTGCTATCGGCTTCAAGAAAAAAAAGCAACAGACGAACAATCGATTTTCAAAAAAATATCAGCTTACAGCAAATGACGAAACGAAATTTTTTTATATTTACAGTTTATTCATAGGATATTTAGTGTCAGAGATAAAAATTGGAAACTTAGAAGACATCTTTTCTGAAATTCCATTTTTCCAACGAACTTGTAACTTTTTAATCTTTATTTATCGAAACTAAGTGTTTCATGAATAAACTGTAAACATAAAAAGTTTTCTTCTCATCATCTTCTATAAGCGGATATGTTTTAAAAATTGATTTAACGAATATAAATATTTCTCTGAAGTCATTACTCGAGGGTTTATATATACACCCTTCGCAGTCAAAGGATTAAAACGAATTTTGCCATTGTGTGTCAGCTCTTATTATACATTTGTTTCTCCTTCTTTTAAAACACGTAATTGGAATGTTAAAGTTAATGAAATTGAAATTACAAGATAATTAAAAATTTATTTATAAATTAATAGACTCCCCAGCAGTGATTTGAAGCAGTTGTATAAATAGTGAATGTGTCGTACGTGATATAAAAAGAAAACGATAAAGGAGTGCCTCTCGTGATAAATTGATACGAATATGAGCCACGTATACTACTTATCGTTATTTTCGTACGTAAAAAAGGTCAGCATACGTTAAAGTTGGAACCGATAAGACAGCTACAAAAAAAGTGTTGTAAATATTGTGTACGTTCGTGATATATTGGGATAAGAAGGATAATGGTCACGAGACTGAAACAGGTCGAAATGCTTATTAAATTTTTATTGTACCACGTAATAATAATAATAATAATAATAATAATTAATAATAATAATAATAATAATAAAGATAATAGTAATAATCGCAGTAATCATCATCGCAATAATAAATCGTAATAATAATGTCAATAATAAATGTTAATAATAATAACTAATAATAATAATAATAATCATTCGTCGTCGTAATAATAGCAATAGTTTTGTAATAATAATGACAATTCATCGTCGTCGGTAATAATTCCAATGACAAACGTCAATATTTCATATAGTAGCGTGTCGAACGGAGAAACGACCATTAAAAAACGAAGACAGTATCAATTGTTCGTTCGTACATTTTGTATCATTTTTTTTTGTTCTTTTAGCTTCCGTCGTCTTACTCATCTCGCTCGCGCTTCTCTTTACTTTTTTCTGCTTCATCTTTTTTAGTCTCATCTCTTCTCTACCTGTTTCTCGCTCTCTCGCTCTCTTCCACACACGCATTCTCTCTCACTCTCAACTTCCCCCCTTTTTTTTTGCCATTAATTTATAATCTTTCTCTCACACACGCGCACACTTTCTCCCTCTGTCTCGTGTTACGCAATTGATGCAAAATGTCCCTACACAGTCCGACGAATGTGTGTGCGTGTACGTATCTCTTTTTTTCCGCTCAATCGATTCTTTTTCCTCTACCTCCGGGTCGTAAGTGTGTTGTTTTTTGCTCGACGCTTGCTTCTCTCTCCCTACGATATCAATTTTTATCGATCGTTTCCGCGATTCTCTTTTTTTCTCTCTCTCTCGAAAATCCACTTTTTAGAATCCGCTATTTCCCGTTGTAGCACTTGCTTGACACATTCACTCACATTGGTTGATCGGTTTGCTAGTGAGGGGACTCGAGGGATCGGTGGTTGTGGATTGGAAAGCGTGAGGGGTTGTGCCGTTGGTGAAAGATGCGAGGGACGTGTGTGGGGGATGATTGGGTGCTGATGACTTGGGAATAGAATGCAAGGATCTGCCAGGGGTGGGTGGTAATTAGGAACGTCCACGAGGAAAATGGATATGCTGCGGTGAAAACAGAAGGCGTTAGGACATTTTGGCCCCTCCGATCAACGGTCCAATTATTCTCACTTTTCACTTTTTTTTCAATTGATTTCAATTGTTTTCAATTGTGATCTTTTTTAAAGGAAATCTCACAGATTTGAAAGGCAAGTACTTTGTGACTTGAGAAATTATTTTCATAAAATTATTGATTATCCAAAAATTACACTTTCTGTGAACTGAAAATTAACTTCTTCATAATTTCAACACTGAATCTCGTGGTTTTGAAAGGTAAATTTTTCAAGATTTCAATATTCGGTATTCACGGTTGTAAAGTTTTCCACGATTTGGAAGTTACATTTTTTATAACTTATTCATTGATCTTTTATAATTCAAAAAATGTTTCTTGGGATTTATATCATTGGAAACATTAAGATTTCCAATATTTGAAAATTAAGTATTCTATAATTCAAAAATGGATATTTGTCTTGATTTTAAAATCGAAAATTGTATTTCCCCAGATAGAAAATTGGGATTCTACGATTCTGAAAATGAGTCTTTTAAAATTAGAAATTTTTATTTTTTACAAATGAAAAAGTGGAGTTCGAAAAAGTTTAGTTCTCGATTATTCAAAAGTTACAGTTTCTACGAATCCCAAAATTAATTTTTTCATAACGTCAACACTGAATTTCCTATACTTTGCAAGATAAATTTTTGATGATATACATATTCAGTATTCGAGGTTGTACAGTTATATTTTTTTAAGATTTGAATACCAAGTGTTACACGATTTGACAATTAAATTTTTGAATAAATACATTGTTTTTTCATAATCCAAAAAATGATTTTACTATTTGAAAGTTAACTTTTTTGATCCGAAAAGCAAAGGTAACGCAAGTTCAAAGTTTTTCATGTTTCAAATTTTACATTTCAATTGTGTTTCAAATTATGTTTTTCCTGATAGATTTTAATACCAAACCTTTTGCAAAATGCAATATAAATTTGTTAAAAATTCAGTGTATCACAGTTCAAAATTCATGATTTCTACGATTCAAAAATTAGGCATCAAAAAATCCATTTTTGTTTCGATTAAATGTTACATGTTATATCTAACAAAATAAGTTTTCCACGATTCGAAAATTTAAAATACTACTCGTCGAAAAGCACATTTTTCACGATTTCTAAGATACGTCTACCGCGACTGAAGAGTGATATTTGTATAATCTAAAGAAAGTGTTTCACGAGACAGAAATTGAATCTTTCGACTGATTAATTACCAAACAATTACATTTCCCGCTATTTATAAGATTTATATCTGCGACAATCTTAAAGTTACCTTTTTCGTGACGCAAAAATGACATACTTCAAGATATAAAATTGTAATTTCCCACTATTCCAAAAAAAAATTGAGTTCTACAAAAAAGTTTAAAGTTTCTTCGTCCGGAAATATTCGTTGACGGAGGGGCATGATTTCGTAGTGCCGAAAGCGT